AACAACTCAACTCGTAACCACGGCAAATCAACTCCTCTTTAAAACCAAAACATTAAATGTTGGTAGTTGTAACCCTCCCCTATCGTAAGGTAAATACAACAGAGAGAGTCTAAGTCTCGGCTTCCTGTTATTCCAAATACATTTAGAAAGTAGCTTTCTTATTTTAGAGAAAATGGAGGAGGAGGTGCTAGTGGGATTGATTGAAAAAGATATAAACATTTTGGCAATATACTCATCTTAATTATATTAATTATTTCCACTAAGGACAAGGCAATGTTGTCCACCTAGTGAAATCTTCTGACACTTTAGGGGTGACAAGGGTTTGTAATTAGATGCACTGAGAATGTCTATCATTGGTGTAATTTTAATACCCAGATAAGCAAAACCGTTTCTGGCATTTACAAATGGGAAAGATAATTTTGGATTTCTTCCCTCCTGTTCATTGAGAAACATAATAGAGGATTTATCTTTGTTCACCTTAAAACCAGAGATTTTACCAAATTGATTGATTACTTTTAAGAGGGATTTTGCAAGACCTGATCAAAACACTATGGCATCATCTGCATACAATGCTATATTATGCTCTAGGTGCCCTGTCTTAATACCATAAATCAAAGGGTGTGATTGTATGGCTATTGCCAACGGCTCCATATAATAGCTATCACAAAAAGTAAATATGAGAGCCTTGTCTTGTGCCGCGAAAGAGTATACATGGTTGTGAAATACAATTATTGGTTAATACTACTGCGGACGAATCAAAAAATATAATTTTAATCCATTTAAGAAAGTAGTCATCAAGACCAAAGCGCTTAAGCACTTCTAGCAGATATGGCCATTCGACTCTATCAAACGCCTTTTCTGCATCGAGTGACAAAATGGTCTTGTCCGGGGTTCCTTCACGAAACATAACCCTCCTTACATTATGGAATCCTTGAGGATTTTTAACAAAGCCGTTTTGATCTGATCCAAATGAATGCCATCCATAGTTAGTATATCTTTAGATAATTTGTTTCGTAGATTCTTTGGGAATATAGTTGAGTATCATCCGCATAACAGTGGAAATGTACAGAATGATTCCTTATAATATTGCCTAGCGAAAGCATATATAATGTGAACAAAATAGGTCCAAGCACTGAGCTCTGTGGCACTCCATGGCTAACTTTGGTTTGTATGGAAGATTTATCGTTGACACACACAAACTGAGAGCGTTCCGATAGATAGGACCTAAACCAGCCTAAAGCAGTTCCCTTTATGCCAACTAAGTGCTCTAGTCTTTGCAATAGGATATCATGGTCGATAGTATCAAATGCAGCACTGAGATCGAGCAAAACAAGAATAGATAAAAGTCCTTTTTCTGAGGCTATTAGAAAGTCATTTGTGACTTTAACCAGAGCTGTCTCTGTGCTATGATGTGTTCTAAAGCCAGACTGAAAATCTTCAACTGTTTTGCGACCGCTTTCTCAAGAATTTTTGAGAGGAACGGAAGATTAGAAATAGGTCTATAATAATAATACATTTTATTTTTATAGCGCTTTTCTAGAACCCAAAGACGCTTTACATTTGGGGAAGGGTAGACAGACAAGGACAGGCAATAAAACAACAAAACAAAAACAAAACAGAAAAACAAAAAACAAAACAGAAAAGCAGTCAGGAGGAAGTTGGTTGAGAGGGGGGGGGGCTTATGGGTATACAGACTTGAAGAGATGGGTTTTGAGGCGGGACTGGAACAGGGTGAGGGACTCAGACTCACGGAGGTCTTGGGGGAGGGAGTTCCAGAGCTTCGGGGCTGCCACAGAGAAGGCTCTGTCCCCAAAGCTCCGGAGTTTGGCCTTGGGGATGGAAAGCAGACCGGCTGAGGTGGATCTGAGGGACCGGGGTGGTTGGTAGAGGATGAGGAGGTCAGTGAGGTAGGGGGGGGGCAGATGGTGGAGGGCTTTGTAGGTGAGTACCAGGAGTTTGTATTGGATGCGGTGTGAAACGGGGAGCCAGTGAAGTTCTTTGAGGACCGGGGTGATATGATGCCATGATTTGGTGTGGGTGAGGAGTCTGGCGGCTGCGTTCTGGACACGCTGAAGTCTATTGAGGGATGTAGTGCTGATGCCGTAGAGGAGTGCGTTGCAATAGTCCAGGCGGGAGGAGATGAAGGCGTGAATGAGTCGCTCAGCTGCTATAATTGGCTAGAACCTGTGGATCGATGTTGTGCTTTTTAAGAAGAGGTTTTATTACTGCTACTTTGAATGATTGTGGAACATAGCCTGATAATAAAGACATATTCATAATATTTAATAAAGAAGTGTTAATTAATGGAAAAACTTCCTTTAACAGCTTAGTTGGAATCGGGTCTAAGATACACGTTGATGGTTTAGAAGAAAGAATCATTGAATTCAATTGTTCAAGGTTTATGGCTGAAAAGCATTCTAATTTACTATCTAGTGTAATATTAGAACTTACATTTCCGGGAGCTGTTGATAACCCTATACTGGTCAAAGGCATAAGGTAATTGATTTTGTTTCTAAGAGTAACAATTGTATCATTAAAAAAAGCACATAAAATCATTACTACTGAGTGCTATGGGAATAGAAGGCTCAATCGAGCTGTGGCTCTCGGTCAGCCTGGCTACAGTGCTGAAAAGAAATCTTGCATTATTCTTATTCTCATCTATTAATGAAGAGTAGTAAGCTGCTCTCGCTTTACGCAGTGCTTTCTTATATTCATTGAGAGTAATATGCCAAATGAAACGAGATTCTTCAAGTTTAGTGGAACGCCATATCCTTTCAAGTTGTCTCGACTTTTCCTTTATTTTGCGGGTTTCGGCATTATGCCATGGAGCTAGTCTATGTTGTTTTATTTTCTTCTTTTTCAAAGGAGCAACAGAGTCTAATTTTATTCGCAGCGCATCTTTAGCACTATCAACAACATGATCAATTTGGGGTGGTGTACATTTTGTATACGTTTCCTCCCTTACATACAGACAAGCTATCGAGTTAAGTATTGGTGGAATCTCTTCCTTAAATTTGGCTATAGCACTAACAGATAGGTTTCTGCTGCAGGAGCTTTTGACTAATGGTTTGTAGTCTAGTAGCAGTACTTCAAAAGTTACCAAAAAATGGTCGGATAAAGCAGGATTATGCGGTTCGACTAATAGTTGCTCAATTTCAATACCATAAGTCAGAACAAGGTCGAGAGTGTGATTATAACAGTGAGTTGGTTTATTTACACTCTGACGGAAACCAATAGAATCTAATATAGAGTTAAATACAACAGTAAGGCTATTTTTATCATCGTCAACATGAATATTAAAGTCACCTACGATAATTATTTTATCTGTTTTAAGTACCAAAGTTGATAAAAACTCAGAGAATTCTGATAAGAATGGTTGTTAAGAATGGCATTGGAAATATCTTCAAAGTTCAGTTCCCTATTCATTGCGAGTTTTGTTTCTACGGAAATATTGGGAAAAGACAGCTCATCTAGGAAAGTGTTTTGACTTACCGAATTCAATGGATAATCAGATTGATAAAGCCTCTTATAGAAGGCCTGATTAATTTCCAATGGATCTGTAGTTATTAACGTAATGTAGCTTTCGGTTTGGGCAAACTGCGTGCGCATCACTCTCAATCCTCAATGGTAATGTTTAGGTGGATTTTAGGAACTTCCCCTCAATTCTATTGGCTCTAACGGTTAAAAAGAGGTTTCAATCACCAAAATTGACCGAAGGGCTCCAGAGATACGGCAAATACACCCAGAGGTGTTTTTTTTTCTAAACCTCTCTAAAAAGGTCAAATTTAACTTGTTTTGCATCAATCTTGAAACAGGGTACTTATTATATTTTATAGTTTTGATTGCTAAAGCTTTTAGTCTACTACCCCATCATTCAAGTGTGGTTTTTTACTATGTTAAATCTGAATTTACTTTAATATAAAATCATCTATATCGATTCAGACACTTCTACATCCAACTCACAGGTGTATCATTGCTTTGAGAAAAAAGATTATTAATGTACCCCTTTTTAGAAGTGAAGATATAGTCATTTGTTCTGGGCTTGTCATTTTCGAGCCTGAGGCCTGAAAAACAGGCTCAGGGCTTAACAGGTTAAGCTTAACAAATAGCTCTACATCCCTGACCGAAATGTCCCTAAAATGAAGTCAGAGTTCGAAATATATTTCAAATAATGTATGCACTGCCATTTCCCCACATACACATAACAGTCTGCAATGAAACGGTTGTCTCCTGTTCGCTCCACTTCTTACTTGGCGCACCGGGAACTTTCTCGTGCGAACAAGATACTTTCTCTCTCATTTATTCATTTCCCTTTTAGGGGCTTCATACAATACAATACAAATGCAAGTATTTTATCCTTTCGAGTCATCTGTCTCAAGCCTAAGTCAAGTCTGAAGTCATGAATACCAAGTCAAAGTCAAGTCGAGTCTTTTATCAATGTTATTCAAGCAAGTCTCATGTAAAAAAATATGTGACTCGAGTCCCCCACCTCTGTTATATACTGTTAGAATGTTGCTGTAATATAATAAACATAAACAGTTAGTAAAAGTAGTATTTTTTTTTTTTAACTCAAAGTTTGTATTAAGTGAGTTTTTATTGTGTTAACTGTATATGTATTTATGTTTTTTAGATTTACTTTCTCTCTTTCTCTGTCCGTCTGTTTTAGAAACCGAAAGGAAGAGAGAGACGTCACAGCTGTCAGCAATGTGATGAATCCTTTACAAAATTTGGAAATTTAAAACGCCACCTGCTTATTCATACTGGAGAAAAACCGTACAGCTGTGAAGAGTGTTGCAAAACGTTCGTGAGATCAGTTTCTCTCATAAACCATCAACGTATTCACACAGGAGAGAAACCCAAAGGAAGAGAGAGACGTCACAGCTGTCAGCAATGTGATGAATCCTTTACAACATCTGGAAATTTAAAACGCCACCTGCTTATTCATACTGGAGAAAAACCGTACAGCTGTGAAGAGTGTTGCAAAACGTTCGCGAGATCAGTTTCTCTCATAAACCATCAACGTATTCACACAGGAGAGAAACCATACAGCTGTGATGAGTGTGGGCAAACGTTCACTACATCAAGTCTTCTCAAAATCCATCAGCGTTATCACACTGGAGAAAAACCATACAGCTGTGAAGTGTGTGGGCAAACATTCTCAACATTTTATTATTTTAAATCACATCAACGTATTCACACAGGAGAGAAACCGTACAGCTGTGAAGAGTGTGGGAAAACGTTCACTCAATTAGGTTCTCTCAAAATACATCAACATATTCACACAGGAGAGAAACCGTACAGCTGTGAAGTGTGTGGGAAAACGTTCAATCAATCAGGTGCTCTCAAAACACATCAAAGTATTCACACTGGAGAAAACCCGTACAGCTGTAAAGAGTGTGGGAAAACGTTCACTCAATCAAGTCTTCTCACAATCCATCAACGTATTCACACAGGAGAGAAACCGTACAGCTGTGAAGAGTGTGGGAAAACATTCAATCAATCAAGTAATCTCCAAAGACACCACCGCATTCACACAGGAGAGAAACCATACAGCTGTGAAGAGTGTGGGAAAACGTTCAATCAATCAGGTGCTCTCAAAACACATCAAAGTATTCACACTGGAGAAAACCCGTACAGCTGTGAAGAGTGTGGGCTAAGGTTCACAACATTAGGTGCTCTCAAAACACATCAACGTGTTCACACTGGAGAGATACCGTACTGGTGTGAAGAGTGTGGGAAAACATTCACTAAATCAAGTAATCTCCAAAGACATCACCGCATTCACACAGGAGAGAAACCGTACAGCTGTGAAGAGTGTGGGAAAACGTTCAATCAATCAGGTACTCTCAAAACACATCAATGTATTCACACTCGTGCGAAACCGTACAGCTGTGAAGAGTGTGGGCTAACGTTCACAACATTAGGTGCGCACAAAACACATCAACGTGTTCACACTGGAGAGATACCGTACTGGTGTGAAGAGATGCTGTTGTCTCCCTAAATCAGTGGTTCTCAAACTTTTTCCATCAGGCCCCCCTTTGGAGAAAAAAAAGATTCGGGCCCCCCCAACACAAATAGTCACGTAGTGGGCCAAGTTAACATTTATTAAAATACATCAATATTAACGTGAGCATTCCTTTATCACTTTGTTAGAACAGTGATAATAAAACAATTCTCCAGAAGTCTGTGTACTCAAAAACGAAAAATACATAATATAATTGTGCAATCCCTTTGCAAGAACAATAAGTTATACTTTGCCACTGTGCAAAAAAATTTAAAGAAAGAAAATGCTGATATTTGGCAGAAAAGTGTCTTATCACAGCATTAGTGGCTGCAATGAGCCTGTTTTGCACAGCACATTTCTTCAAAACGGGATTGCAGGCTCAGTGGCGGCGCCAGAGATTTTCTTTTGGGGGTGCTGTGGGGTAGCTTGATGTTTCATAGAGGGTGCTCAAACATTTAGGGTTTCCCATTAATGTACCGGTCGCTACAGTGGAATTGTGTACTGCAACACTCCCCACGCACATACACAGTGTATCCGCGACTGTTAAAATGAAGGCTCAATAATCAACTCACGGCATATAGGTGTAAGCAGGGGTAAAGTGCTATTTTTATAAGTGGGGAGTGGGAGTTAAATATTGAAGTTAAATGCCTCAATCTGGTGCACTTTGAGAGCAAAATGAAGAGATCTATGGATACATCTCTCAACACCCATATGAAACAGAACTGTAAACAGATTTTATTTTTCTTTATGGATATTTTACTAATCACTCCCCTTTTAAACTGTATTCTTGTTTTACTCGCACGCACAAAAAATGGCTCGTTCCACACACACACACAGAGCCGAGCTTGAATAAATCACCGAGACCCAGACGTTCTTGTAATGTACTGTAGCATATTATTTTTGAATCAATAATTTTTCAAATTATGAATTTCACACATACAAAAAATAAATACATACATTTCTTGGGGGTGCTATGGCTATCTTAGGGGGACCTGTAGTACCCCCTAGCGCCCCCCTGACGCCGCCTATTGACCTTCCATCCTCAAAATGTACATTACACACCTGTGTCCTACAGCGCCCTCATAGGTTTCCCTATGTTCCCCTGTTTGGTTAATAAAATGTTGTGACTTAAACTTTGATTGGGATGTTTTGATAGTTCCTGTTGAGTTGGCAGTCTGTTCTGGTCTAAAAAAAAGAACCAATGATGAATGTATCTAGAAAATATTGTTAGATGTGCCAAGAGCAAGGACTAACTTAGGTAAGACAGCTTTTATGTGCGCAGCTCCACTTGCTTGGAACAATCTTCAGCAAGAATTGAAACTGAGCAATCCTCTGCATGTTTTTAAAGCTAGGCTAAATGAGATGCTTGTTGATACTATGGATACTTGTAAATGTCTATAACTATGTAAATGTATCCTGTAAATATAATGTATGATGTCCTTTATTGTTTTATGTTTAATGTGGAACCTATATGCTGCAGGTCTCCCTTGAAAAAGAGATCTATGATCTCAATGGGACCAATCTGGTTAAATAAAAGTTTGAAATGAAATATTCCTGATGTTTTCAGTTTGATTCTGTTCTCTTTTGTTTAAAGTGGACCTATCATGCTATATTTGAATAATATAGTGTAGGACCATACCTATATAAGGCATATTTATACTTTTTTTTTTTCAAAATACCAAACAGATCATGCATTTTAGCCATGCCTCATTTTGCTCAATTTGACCTACCTAATATATATATATATCATTCCAATAACTTGTATATAGACTCGTACTGCACTATTCCACATCATCACTTTATTTTATAACTATTTTTTCTTTTTGTATTGCTCTTGCTCTTATTGTTATTATGTTATTATGTTGCATTGTTGGAGAAGCCTGTGACATAAGATTTTCAACTACATAATTACTCTGTAGCGATGTCAGATTGACAATAAAGAACCTTGAACCTTGACATTTTTTAGATCTGTTTTAGCAAGGGCAGATTCAGTGAGAACAGCACCATCTACTGGCCTGGCATATGCACTACATCGTCTCCAGCGCTTTCGAACGGCAATGGCCGTGGCTGTCTCCTCCTGATTGGTGGAGTTGGCCCAATAGCCGTAGCGCCACCGTCCTGACGTCAGGACAGTGTTTAAATCTGGATCAGTTTTTATCAGATCCGTTGCAGCCCCTTTTTTAGAGATTTGGGTATGGAGGAAAATAGAGAGGGTTGTGTTTTCTGACACTTGGTGAGTTCCCTGGAACACCGGGGACACATATTCATGTTTAAAAGACGTACAAAAGTGCATTTTGCATGATAGGTCCCCTTTAAATTATCAGAATTTACCAAAAATAAAAAAGGCCTTAGAAACAGACTCACATCCCTGCATATTTTTTGTGTTTTTCAGCACATTATAAACATGTCATTCCCTTGTTTTAGGGCCGCTGACTGCTGGATGAAATGTATCACTCAAACTTTAATTTGAATGAAAAATATACTTTTTAACTCAGTTTGTTTGACCTGGTTTGTTCCCAGTGAAGGACTCCAGCTCACAATGAGGTAACTGTTAACCTGTTAAGCCCCAAGCCTGTTTTTCAGGTCTCAGGCTCGAAAATGACATTCCCAGAACATATGACTATATCTTCACTTCTAAAAGGGGTAAATTATCTCAATCTCAATCTTTATTTATTTATATAGCACATTTAAAACAATCTTCAGTTGACCAAAGTGCTGTACAGGCAATAACTACAATATTAAATAACACTAATAAAACAATAATTAAAAACATGATAAAAAGCACAATAACTAGAAACATTAAAAAAAACACATACAAATGTAAAAATGTAATGTTCAACTAGTATTAAAAGCCAGTGCAAAGAGGTGAGTTTTTAGCTGAGATTTAAAAAGTTCAATAGACTCAGCAGTCCGGATATGTGCTGGGAGGCTGTTCCACAGTCTGGGAGCTGCAACACTGAAAGCCCTGTCACCTCGGGTTTTTTTCCTGCACCGAGGAACCACCAACATATTTTGCTGAGCTGATCGCAATGCTCTAGCTGGAGCATGGCGGTGCAACAACTCAGACAGGTAATGTGGTGCCAGTCCATGCAATGATTTAAAAACAACAATTAAGTACTTGAACTGGATCCTGTAACTGACAGGAAGCCAATGAAGGTCTGCCAAAACGGGTGTGATGTGGTCATAACGTCTCTTCCCAGTAAGAAGGCGTGCAGCCACATTTTGGACCAGCTGCAGGCGACGGATCAAACACTTATCAACACCAATATACAGGGAGTTACAATAGTCTAAACGAGACGTTATAAATAGGTGGATTAGCTGTTCAAATTCCTTACTAGGAAGCTAAGCCTTTACCTTCCCCAGTAGCCGCAGCTGGAAGAAGCTTGTCTTGACAACTGAGCTTATTTGTTTGTCGAATTTAAAACAGTTGTCAAAGATGACTCCAAGATTTCTGACAGAGGGACGGCTGTAGGAGGCTAAGGGGCCGAGTACACTATTAAAGCCATCCAGGAGTTCAGACTGTCCAAATATTATAATCTCTGTCTTGTTTTCGTTGAGAGTCAAGAAGTTGATTTCCATCCATGATATTATGTCTTTCAACAGCTAAGCAAGGCAATCCTATATTCCTTATTTGCTTTTATAGGCAGGTATACCTGCAGATCATCTGCAAAGCAATGGTAAGAAATGTTATGCTTTTTAAAAATTGACCCCAGAGGTAGTAAATACAGACTGAACAAAATGGGGCCTAGGATAAAACCTTGAAGGACCCCATATGCTAGTGGGGCTGCAGCTGAAGAATACTGGCCAAGATGCACAGAAAAGGTCCTTTCTGACAGATAGGATTGAAACCATTTGAGGACATTACCTTTAATTCCAACACACAGTTCATGGCGTGATAAAATAATTTGGTGGTAAATGGTGTCAAAAGCAGCAGACAAATCTAAAAGCACAAGCACAGCAGAATTCCCAGAATCAGCAGTTAAAAGAAGATCATTAAAGACTCTTAGGAGAGCAGTTTCTGTGCTGTGGCGTGATTTAAAACCAGACTGAAACTTCTCTGATATGCAGTTTAAAACAAGGTGCAACTGCAGTTGCGCTAACACCACTTTCTCTAGGACTTTAGAGAGGAAGGGCAGCTTAGAAATAGGTCTAAAGTTGGAGAGAACAGAATGATCAAGGTTCTGTTTTTTGATAAGAGGCTGCACTACAGCCTAATCTTTTTTCTCAAAGCAATGATAAACCTGTGAGTTGGATGTAGAAAAGTATGAATCAATATAGATGTTTTTATTTTAAAGTAAATTCAGATTGAACATAGTAAAAAAGATTAAATTATAGTTTCCGTCCAAAAAAAAAACATTACTTATAGTGAAAACCACCCTTGAATGATGGGATAGTAGACTAAAAGCTTTTATAACATAAGTACCCTGTATCAAGATTGATGCAAAACAAGTTAAATTTGACCTTTTTAGAGAGGTTTAGAAAAAAAGAACCACCTCTGGGGTCATTTGGGTAAATGCTGGTAGTACAGTGCCATCCCAAAGAAAGATTTGACCTTCTGCTGAGATGGAGTACAGCCGTCACCGTCCATAAGGTCCTCTTTCCTGAAAGCAGATATGACCTCCACCTTCCCCTGATCGACTGAGACACCATCACTGCTCACCACATGGCCAAGAAACCGCACAGACCTGCGAAGGAAGTGGCACTTCTTCTGAGACAGCTTCAGATTGTTAGCTCTGAGACGTGAGAAGACCATCTCGAGTCGACTCAGGGCTTCCACTTCAGATTTAGCAAAAACCAGCAGGTCGTCCATATAACAGAGGAGGCTGGGGAAGTTCA